AACGTCCAGGGCCGTGCGCTCTGGTCACGGACCGCGTCCAAACATACTGGAAGGAGCAGCTGTGATGTTACAGCAGACAACAAAGTTGGACTTTTAGGAGATGAAATAATAATAAGATACTTTTTGGAGAAAAAAGTCTGAGATTTTTAAAATAAAACTTAATCCTAAAAACAGTAAAGTCAAACAGAATGTTAGAACAATCAGTGAAACGTCAGGAGGAAAAAAACGGGTACAATTTAAAAAGGAAGGAAGGAAAAGTAACAGATTAAAAATATACAAAATCTCCTGAGAGGTTTTTCAGAGGAAATGTTGGTATTTCAAGAATAAAGACTAAAGATAAAACTACTTTGCAAGTCTTATGAAAATTTGATTAAAAAGTTGCACAATATTTATAAAATTGTAATAATGAAAATTCATGTGAATAAGTTAGGAACATTTAATTCATTAAGAATTCAAGAATAAAGGGATTATGTAATGACTAAATGTTTTTCCAAAATAAAGGTTTGATTTTAGTTTAAAAAGTCACATTTTTCAGAAATAAGGACAGAAGTTTGAGAAGTGAAAAATCTTATTTTAAGAATTTAAGTCCTAATTTCAAAAGGGGAGAGTCATTATTCTACAAGACAATATCCAGTAGTTTTAGGAGGAAAAGCTGCAACAGAATAAAGTGACTGTTCTCACCAGTATTCAAATCTTTTTCTCATGAAATTATCTCATCATGTTGCAGCGTTTACCCCAAATGTCCACGTCCTCCTTTTTAAATCGTGATGCTTTAAAGTTTTCACTGTTCTACAGCAACGTTGGGACCTTCATTACAGATTTGTTCAAATTGTTCCCAAGTTTCTTGGTGCGTCCCTAAGACCCGGTTCTGGTCATGTTTATCGACCCGGCGGCTGTTTAGACCCTTTGACATCGGTTTGTTTTCACGTGGGTTTCATTGCTGCGTGTCAGCAGCTGGTTCAGATGTTTGCGCTGACGAACAGTGACGAGAACATTAAAAGGAAACTGAAATACATTCCCCACAAGTGAGCGAACGGGGTCCAGACCTCTGATGGTCAACCAGAAACCACCTGGAGGTGTCGCCTCCAGAGGTCGGTGTCCAACCCGCAGCCAATCAGACGGCCCGCTACCCGAAAGTGTAGTGACAAGACTGTTTTCTCAGCGTCCATCATCAGTGTTCACCTGTACAGGAACACCTCAGTGTGATGGTTCATACAAGTGTCCCACAGGTGCAGAAACTCAGGTCTCAGCTGAGCAGGGTTAGGACTTCAGTTTGTCCCTGGCTGCCGCGGTTTGGTGGATGTATGCTCTGCAATGTGTTAGCTTCAGTCTGCTGGAGTTTCGCTTCAGACCCGCAGTTGGGAACAGCCGTCTCCTGCATCGCCTGCACGGTGTCATAGAAACAGTCTTCGTTGATCATGGAGCTCAGGCTCTGGACGCTGAAGTCTCGCTCCAGCAGGTCTCCTCCAGGGCCGCGCCACGACCTGGAGCTGCGGCTCTGCTCCTCGTTCCTGCTCTGCTCTGCCTCGTCCTCGGTGAAGTTCAGCCTCTGCAGCTGAGCCTCCAGGTCGTTGGTCAGGGAGCAGAGCCTGGCCCTCCTCCCTGCAGGGTCAGCAGTGTGGCTGGGCAGCAGAGGCTCCGAGCAGGTCTCTGCCAGCAGAGCACCGTCAGGTCTGCAGCTCTCCTCCGACGGATGGCGAGCCGTGCTCTGGGTGTCGGAGCAACGTCGCTGCTGCCTCCTCCTCCAGGAGCTGCTCCTCTCTGCCGTCGACAGCCGGGTTCTCCTCGGGGAGCTGACGGGCACCTGCTCTCTGAGCACGGAGCGCAGAGCTCGCAGCACGCCGGCCTTCGCCTCCAGACCACTGAAACACAGACAGAGGTCAGGTCAGGTGGCGGGGCTGCAGCTAACCAAGAAAAACATCTGGCAGAGCTGCAGGTTTGGTCTGATCAACAAAGATGTTCAGTTGACACTAAACCTGTAGAAGGAGAAGCAGGAACCACAGACTTTTTATGTTTGTTTTTTTCCATAAATACTGACACAATATGATCAATATTAATCTGATATTTGTTATTAATCCACTGATCAAACTTTTCCTCTAACACCGAGGACCGGCCAAAGCGTGGCACACTGCAGAAATGTCCTCTCTAGGATGGTTTAAAAGTGAAACACACAGATATGCGCACTATACGTACACGTGTTAGTGAAGCAGGTTGTGTCACTGGGGCCTGTGCACAAGACTAAACATGCACAGCTTGAATATGGACAGTCACACCAGTTTTAAGCGCTCACTCCATGACCACGCACACACGCTTCTTGCTGGGATCAGACTCAAGGGAGGCGCGTCCACGTGGAGCGCGTTACCTGCTGCAGAGCTGGAACACCGTTTCCGGCCGCCCCTCCACCTCCGACCTGCTGTGGACCAGCTCCCACACACACGGGTTCTCCGAGCCTGAAAACACACACAGGTCAGTCAGAGAGCAGCTGCAGCGCAGCGCCACCTGCTGGAGAACTGCGTGCGGCGGGTCACTGACCTGTGACGCCGGCCGGTCTGACTTGAACTGCTGAAACTGGGATTAACCAGCGGAACCTGAAGGGGTCCAAATCAGCTGAGCGGGAGCCGGTCTGTCCCACAGAAAGACACAAGTTAAATCCAGAAATGAATAAAGTCGTTTTTCCTGCCTTTTAAATAAGTCGTGAAGCTCTGAGAGCAGTGTCTCATTTCTCAGAAACCTCAGGCGGGTATGTTAGTTTTCATTTAAATAAAGACCTGTAGCAGCTCTCCAAGACTGAAGAATTCAAATAAATATAGTGCAGAATAAAATATTACAATAAAGCAAACAAAATGACAACGTGTGTTTGTGAAGGAAGGAGATCAATAAAAAAAAAAGTGATGGACGATTTGGAAAATGGTCATCAGGAACATTCAGTTCAGTTTATAAAGACTTATCCTAACCTTAACCATAACCACTACTTGCCTATCACCTAACCCTGACCCTAACACTTAACCTAACCTCATCCTAACCCTAAACCATGTTGCCACTCTAAAGGTCAGTGATTTTCTTATGGGAACTAGCTTCTGGTCCCCATAAGGATGGCCGAGTACCCACAGTGTGAGTGTGTTAACAGGTTTCGGTCCTCATGATGTAAGTAAAACAAAGGCACACACATCTCAGTAAAAACAGGATGAGATAACACAAATATTTGAATAGTACGTGAATAGTTTTCTGTCGACAGCAGCATTTTGTTAAACACAAACAGCCAACAACTGATTTTCAGTTTGGAATCCACAATATACAGTAAACTGACTTTTCAGTGTCAGACTGTTTATTCACTTTGTTCGTTTTCATCGTCCTTAGTTTGTTCAGTTATCAATATGTCAACGCTCTCGTATACATACGTGTTGAAGTCTGAGCGGACCCTCTGCTGATACTGAACCCGAGTCAAAATACACATCTAGACATTTACACCGTGGAAGACTTCAATCTGGAGTCACATCTGAAACGCCACTCTGGGTTTCCCACGCTGAGGCCAGAAGCTCAGGACACTCCTCTGGCTACTCTGCTAAGTTTTAGTGCCACACTGTTGTTTTCAGTCTCGAGGTGACATTGCTGGTTAAAACGTGCACTCACCATCCTCTTCTTCAGTTTGCCATTGTCACGATAAACCAGGATGACGGCTCGTTTAAACACTGTGGACACAACAGAAGCAGCACAGCGTCAGTCTGCACACACCCCGTCCCTGCTGCCGGACAGCCTGGTGAACTGGACCCTGACATCGTCCAGAAGAACCAGTTCACCGAGGAGCTCAGACACCAGGAGACATGTGAGTGGTGAGAATTCATGTCAGCAAACGTGTGATGTGTTGTACAAGCCAGTGAACGTGGACCTACCGAACAGCGTGAGCTCCGGCTCTTTCCTCAGGCGGCCCAGACATGGCAGAGGGTTCAGCCAGACCACCGAGGAATGGACCAGAAACTCCCCCATTGAGATCTCTGTCACCTGGGAGTCGGAGCAAAAACAATCGTTCCTTTTACTGTCACTCACTGCATCTGCATGTACATAGTGCTGACACCTGAGGACCAACCCAGAACCGAGCTGAGCGTCTCCTGGTTGACAGCAGCTGGACCAGGTCTGGCTCAGCGTCGGCACCAGAGTCAGAGTCGGACACAGGTTTGGTCCGTTTCTATTCTGGCTGCCTGTGTATAGTTGGGATGTTTGTGAGCAGTTTCTTGATTTACTGACTCACATTAAAACATCAAAGGTGAGATACCTGTTTGTCAGGTGTGCTCTTCTCCGCCGCCAGCTGGTCGAACACCGAGCCATAGTCCTCATAGATTTTCTGCATCTCGTTGATGTGACTCGCCACCTTCTCCATTGCTCTGAGGGCGTCTGAGTGGACACAGCAGGAGTCAGTTCATACAACGACCACACAAAATAACTAGCACCCTCTGCAGGCTGTGCTGTGTGGTGACCTGCGCCTGTCATGTGTTGTGTACCTGCCAGGTGTGCATGCTCAGGGCTCTCAGGGTCCGTCAGGGACACCAGCTCTCTGAGCAGCAGTGGATACTTCAGGACTCTCTGAACAGGTTTGATCAGGTATGACTCCAGAGAGGACGAGTGCTGATTGGTCGGATTCCTCGCCTCCAGGAACTGTTTGAAAGCCGTGTCTGTCTTCGCTGCGGGAGCCACATGAGAGATTAGTGATTAGGTTCCTCTTCCAGGTTCTGACTGCTCAGGGTTTTACTTCACTACATTAATGTGAACTGACTCTGGATCTGCTGCTACACGAGGACGAGCTGGGACCGATTCAGATTATTGACCAAATAAGCCGGCTGAATAAATGTTGAGTTTACAGGGAAGTTGTGTTGCTGTAGACAGTGACAAACAGGAGCCTCACCTCTCTCCAGGACTTTCTGGACTTTGATGTGGTTGGCACAGAAGCCGCTGTAGAGCTTGAAGTGGTCGGCATAGTAGAGAAAAGATCCTCCCACCGAGAAGAGCAGCTTCTGAAAAACAGAAGGTGTGAAAACTTTGAGAAGTTCAAGAAAGAAAGAAATGATGCACTGCAGCAACAAGATGAACAAAAAGTCAGAGACACATAAACCGACGGCTGAACACTGATGTAGTGTTGTGGCACGGTGCACAGGTACAGTCAGGACTAAAATAAAATAATAATAAGGCACTTTTCATACATAACACGTAGCTCAAGGGGCTTCACAAAATAAAGGAGCTGAGAATTTAAACAGTTAAACTAAAACTGAAAAAACTAAATAATAAACACACAATTTAAATAAAAAACAAATAGAAAAAGGAAACAAACAGGGAAGAAAAATAAATTGTACAAAGAAGATCCATTAAATTGACTGAACCAGGTGAAAATGGGTTGAAACAGAGAGCAGAAGAAGAACCTTCACCTTGAACAACTCTGGTGTGTCCAGGCTGCTAAAGTTCGGACACAAGGCGATTCTTTCCTCCAGTGTTTGGAGGAAAACTCTCTGGAAGTCCAGCATCTCGGGCAGACTGCCGAACAGCGCCTCCATCTGCGGGAGAGACAGTGTCAGAGACAGTGTCAGAGACAGCGGCAGTGAAGCGTCGCCAGGCGCCATCTGTTTCTGTACCAACCTCGTCTTTACTCAGGAAGGTCTGCTGCTGCAGCGGCGTCAGGTACAAGTCGAACAGACACAGCAGGTCCTGGCAGAGACGACACCACATGCAGTAAATATGCTCAATATGTGCACTATACATATATGCATTAAATGAGGGAAAGTGAAAAGGACAAATGTATAAAAAACATTTTACTGGTTACAAAACTGGAAGAAAGGTACAGAAAGTTGCACATGTTAGTGTGTGACAAATGATACACACCATAAGTGTAAATATGAATTAAGACTTCTGGAACCTGGCTTTACTTCTAGCCTCAATGTAAACAGTAGAAAAGCCTGCACACAGGTTGTTCACAGGGTAAATTCAGAATAACGTCCACCTCCATGTTAAAACTGATTCATGACCACGGTCTGACTGTGTAACGTCTGTTTTACCAAGTAAAAGTGGTTTATTATTATAATGACACTTAAGATAAAACAGCAGCAGGATCTGTTCTGAACAGAGTTAAAAACCAAACTGCAGTGACTCTGGACTCGGCTCAATCTTCCCCCCATGTCCTGGTTTGTAGGAGCAGTACTACTGTACCTTTGTGATACTCAGCAGTAATACTCAGCAGTACTGCTGTACCATCAGTAATACTCAGCAGTAATACTCAGCAGTACTCTCTCTGACTACAGTAGCACTGACCTTGACGTAGGACTTCTCGGTGTCGACCAGCTCCTGGATAACTTTACGCAAACGCTGACACACACTCAGATGGGCATGATTCACAGGCTGCAGGCCGACTTCTCGGCTGTACGGGTTCTGAGGAGCATCAACCTCTGCCGCTCGGCCTTTTGGGAACGTCTGGTAGAGCGAGTACACTGGCTCCATGTTCTGGGGGGAGAAAGTGATCAGTCTGATGATCCAATCACTCACCACCGATCCACTTTGTGACAAAACAGAATTGTCCTACTTTTAGAAACTGGTCAAAGCTTGCAGCAGCATCAAAGTCATCTTATAGAGGTCAAAGGCCAAGACTGGGGCAGACAAGGATGCTGAGGGCAGTGTCACCAACATAGTGATTTTCTAGTGACTTTGTTGTTTTGCTGGCACTTGAAGCAGCTCTGGTGTGATGACATGCTCCTTTTCTCTGTGCTGCACTGTGTGAATGGTTTAAAATAGTCAGAACATTTAATCTCAGAGGGAGCGTGGAGATTCAGAGCGTGCACGGGATCAGACTCAGTCCTCCAGGAAGGTAAAGTGAGGCGTCCTTGATAGTTACTAAAAGCTTGGCAGCCGCAGGGTGAGCGCACCGCAGCTCTGCATTTATCAGCCTGGCAGCAGCGTATTAGCAGCTGGCAGCACAGATTATGATGATGGATGAGGAGACTGGTTGGTTTAAACCTTGGCCTCATTCAGGGCTGCACCAGCAGAGAGCACTGCGCCCAGACCAGTAAAATGTCTCTATTAGCCCCGATGTTCACATCTGTCCTCACGTTACAGACCTGGACTGAACTGAGCATGGGTCACGTGTCTCATGGGGCTGCTGCTGGTCCACTACTCTGAAGATTTGGCCTCAAAAGTCTCTAAAGGTCTTTATATGATTTGAATAGGTCTTAGGTTGAGTTGATTAGTTTAATGTTCCTTCTATAATGTCACATTAAGTTCAGTGTTGAGGGGAGACAGTAGTACAGCCTATGGTACGTCGGCTCCAGGTTGTAGTTCTTTCTCTCGTCACTTCGTATTTATCACACTGTAAAAAAACTAACAAACTACAAACCAAGCTGGAACCAGAACCTTACCAGACTCCACACTCATCCTAAACAGATCTTAACTGTGAGGTGAGGTCGAACACCACCTCCCACAGTGTGGACAGTGAAGATCAGGCAGAGAATCACGCAGCTGGACACTAGTACTAACCTGGACACCAGGACTCTGATGTGCACTTCCACGCACAGCAGCAGTGCTGATGCCTTGTGCGCACCAGGATCTAACATCTCTGTCAGTGCCCAACCTGTGCCGTGCTCTGTGTGTGTTCATCAGCAGCACCAGGCCGTTGGCGGGCCACTGGCAGCTCAGGCAGCAGGCCGCCTCGTCCAGCAGCCCCACCAGCCGCTCTAGCAACCCCACACCGGGGAACTCCTGCCCTCCCTCCTCCTCCTCCTCCAGCGGCAGCACCCAGCACAGAGCGCCCATGACCAGAGGTCAGAAGTCGCCTCCTCCAGCACCAGAGGAGCAGCCGTCAGGAACAACATCTCCGAGTGGACGCCATTAATCCCCTGTGCTCCGACTTCACAAACTGAAGTCTCCTGAAGGTGTAAATCCGGATTATCAGCCTGATCACAGGTCACGTGACACACAGGGTGTCTGAGCTTCAGGAAGCAGAGGATTGTGGGAAAAGATTTCTGCAGCTACACAAGCTGGAACAGCAGCTACTTTAAATGTTTTAAACAGCCACATACAGGAACTACAGAGTAACGGTCACCATTAAACCAGTGTCACTGTCACACTGTGGCAGGAAAGGACTAGTGCTGCTCTGAGCGGCCACACAGGAAGCTACTTCTGACCTCAGCTGTTCACATGAAAAGTGACAGAAATATGAATTAAAGGAGAAGAAAGTGAGAGACATGGACACAGGAGGGGCGTCTAAGTAAACTGGCGACTGAAGAGGAACAGTGGTAGAGAAGAATCTTGTTCTGTCAGTGACACCGCAGCGTCTATCTGAGGTTGCTAACCTTAGCCACCACGACCTACTGGTCACTTCAGAACCAGTGCTGCTGCAGCAGAAAGCAGGAAAATGATGCATTTGATTAGATTTTTATGCCCAGCTGACATCATTTATCAGCTCCTTCCAAAACTGTTATGTACATTAAAGGTGACAAAGCCAAAGGAAGAAATGAAGGAAACAAGGAGAAACAGAAACAAAAAGGGAAAAACAAATTAATCCCCACCCACATTTTCCAGGTGCCACCTCAGAACCCGGATTGAAGTCTACCTGTGCCGAGGGCTCGGCTTCCTCAGACGTCCTCGTCCATACGTCATCAAAAACAGGAGGCAGCACGGCGTCTGGAGCTTCATCAGTGGCGAGTGATGGACAGTCTGTGAGATCAACAAGATGAGAGTCTGAATGTGTAAAGAGACAGATGTTGTTCTTCAGCTGCACTGTGACCTCCTCACTGAGACTAAAGTCTCACTTCCCCCTTTAGAAATCGACACGTTCATCATGAAAGCAACAACCACACAGATGGAGACAAACTGCTGCATCAAGCTGAAGCTGCTTGTGAAGAAATTCACTTCACAGCAATTATTACTGATCAAATGCTACAAAAACCAGAGACTGATGGTTTACTTTATCAGTTCTGCAGGTAGGTTTCCCAGAATTCCCTGGGGGGAATACCTCTGTGCAGCTGCTTTAACTGTAGCTGACTGAGCACTGACCCACCTTCAGAATAAAAGCCTTTCATTTAAAACTAAATTCACCCGCAACTGGAGCTCCTGATGGGGGTTTGTCTGTGAAAGCCTAAGTCCAGCTGGAGGCCTCAGATGTAATTACCCCCCCCCACACCACCACCACTCTTCTGTCAATAAAATGATGGCAAAATGCCAAAAATTTTGGATCTAAAAAACAAGATTACATAGAGTCCCATATACAGTACATCACATAAAAACACCAGAAATATTAAATATATTGTTGTATTACTACACTGCTCATCTGTTTTTTTAGTCTTTTATTTTGAAAATCAACAATGCAGGAGGTTCAGAGTATTTAATGAAAGATTTTTGTCACTTACTGTAAACATGTTACTCTGAGTTTCATGTGAGATGACAAACTAACTTATACTGGTGTTTGTAAATCTGAATGCTTAAATCGCTCCCAGTGGCTTTCGTACCTGTGGTCCATGTCTGGAGGTTTGGGGGGGCTGGGGGCAGGCGGGGGTCTGCAGGATCTCTTGGTTCTGGCCAGATGGCGGTGGGCTCCTCGGGGTCAGGTGACTCGTCTCTCCTGAGGAGCAGCTGGAGCTTTTGGTGGCTGAAGAGACTCTGCATCAGGTCCAGGTCCAGTCTGGATACAGCGGTCTCATTCACCACCAGGACCTCGTCTCCGGCCCTGAGGCCTGATGGGAAACAGAGCCAAACCCTGTGTCAGCATGACATCATGACTGTTTGCTCTACGTAAACAAAACGAAATCCGACATCAGACCCAGGCGTCTGACCTTCTCTGGCAGACGGTCCCAGTGGGTCGACCTCGCTCACATACACGTGACTCTTCCCTGCTCCGTCCACGTGACCGGTCACCGCAAAACCTGTAGGGTCACAAGACAACAACACATTTAATACTCGTTTGTATTATTTACACACAAAACCCCAGAAAGTTAACAAGATACACACTGATGCACCTAAAAAATGATGAAAATGAGGCCAAAAAGACAATAAATGATCAAATGTCAGTTTATTTGACAAAGGTAGTGACTGAAGATTCTGCAAGGTTTCCACCAAACAGCGCTCTCCTCCCAGTTATGGTTCTGTTTATCCCAGCACGTGTACGGCAGCTGTTTCTTACCAAAGTCTTTTGCAGCATCTGGTCGACAGATGTGCAGCGTGAAAGCAGCGAGGGCTGAAACGTGCAGCTCATCACACACCTGAACAGCACAGATGACAAGAGGAAAGAGGTCGTTCGTTCTGTCACTGATGATTGTGTTAACTGATTTAAACCTAATCTGTGTCTGAATCATGTGAATGCATCAGAGTTTCTGTATTCAGAGCCTCATTAGGAGAACAACACGTAGGTGAAGGAGTCAGTGAACACACCTGCGGAGCCGCAGGATGTCCAGTGGAGGGCGCCGCCTCCCTGTGTTTGGATACACAGTCAAGCCTCTGCAGGAGGAAACATTCAGATGTGTTTTTATGACACACAATGTAGCAGCAGGTGAAATTCAGTAAGTATTTTTTCAAATATAAAGCAAAAAAATTAAAAACTACAAAAAGCTTGAGCTGCAGGTTGTTATCAGCATTCTGAACACAGGGCTCATGATCAGTGGATTATAAAAAGCCACTCAGCTCAAAAGAATCAAATAAATAAAACTAATACATAAAACAGTGAGTAAAACAAAAAATACATTTAAGAAACCAACCTCTCACCAGCATTTGAACGCACCATCAAAGACAGTTTGTTTTATCTTTGCTTGTACATCAGAAGAAGAGAGGAGGAGAAATTATGATGAAAGGAGTAAATGATGCAAAGTGCAGATGAAGCAGCAGCAGGACACAGAGGAGACATCATGTTGGGAGGAAGATGGTAAAAAGGGAAGAAGAGCAGGAGAAGAAAGGAGGCGGAGGTCATGTGACAGCAGGAGGGGAGGTCATGTGGAGAGAAGAGGAGGTGGCGGAGCCGCTTTCTGCCTCTATAGATGGATTAACACTCGGGGACAAAGGAATTCTGGGAGAATAGAAGGCTCTCGGACCTTTTAATCCTCAAACACCCTCCCCCTCCTCCTCCCTCCTTCCTGTGTAACAGCTGGCTCGCCAAACAATCATCCGCCCCCCTGTCTTTGTCCTCCTCGCTCTTCGGGGAGTCAGAGGGCGACAGGTGGCAGCACACTGCATTGACCAGGCTACACTTCACCGGCTTCTGCAACAAGCTGGATATGGAGTCACAGCTCGGCCATGAGTCCTCATGGGGAACAAGTCAGCTACGCAGACTCCTTCAGCTTTTAGTATTTTCATGCTGAGTTATGCTTCAGTTAAATCCATGAAGTCGGTGTTACCTACTACTTACAGTCTGACTCCACTTTATCTCTGTGTTTATGTTGTTATGGCGGTTTTACATTTTTTCCCAAGGGGTGGAGACAAACTTCAGCAAAATGTGGTGACTGCTGCAGGAATGTCCCAGCTGACTAACTCAAAACAGATGTCCACAGACTTTTGGCCACAGAGGAGAGTGTCAGAGAGACTACAATGGATTCACACAGATCACTGAAGTAGTATCGGTGCCTGGCTGGGAGGCAGGAGGGGATCCTCCCAGTCCTGTAGCTGTTTCCAGTGTCTATAAATCTGAGTTTACACTGGGAGAGACTGTGAGCCAACACAGAGCAGTCGGCGTGCAGAGGAGCGCACAGCATCTGCCTGTCAAAACACTGAGACATAATAAATCTTCAGAGGAGCTGACAGGTTTATCCTCCTCCTTAGACGCTCAGAGGCTTAAAATAACTCGCTCTTCATCAAGAGGGAGCCTGAAGGGTCTTAACGTCACTGTTACACAGAAAGAAGTGCTGATAAATGAGGTAACAACAAACTTGAAACAAGTGGACCTTTTACAGGGCGATGTAGCTGCTGGACATGTCAGTTTGGTGAAGCTGCTCAAATGTAAGGTCTTAGAAATGAGTCCATCACCATGCTACTGGTGCACAAGGAGTGTGTGGTGTGTTACCCGGGAGGCGGAGTGTCTGTTGTCCCTGCTGCGTCTCCTCTGTCCATGCAGAGCCCTCAGAGAGGATGGCAGCCCCCTCCTCCTGTGGCTTGACAGAGACCGACCCCACCTCCTCAGCCTCGCCTCATCTCGACTGCACACCTGAGGAGATAGAGCAGGTCCACTTCTGTTACAGCAGCTACCAGCAAGACTTCTACAAAGCAGGATACAAATAGCTGACAAAGCTTTATTGCTGCTTTTAAGGTAGCTGGACATTTCAGCACCCAGGATATTTGAGACCTGCTGCTCCACACTGAACCTAAACACAGTGCTGGCTTATATTTAAGCCTCCCGCTCCTTCTGCACCAGTAACCTTGTCTCTGACAGCACTTCCTACCAGGGCGTGGAAGGATGACACAGAGAAGACTCCCAGACGTCCCAGCATGCTCTTGGAAGGCCGGCTGGCCATGGCCAAGAGACTCTTGGGGTTGGGCAGCTCGCTGCCTTGCAGGCTGGACAGATAGCATCTCATTCTGAACAGATCCAGGTGCAGTTTCTCCAGGTTCTGCTCCCACTGCTGGATCTGCACACAGCGTCATACCACAGGGTCAAACACAGATAACACTGGACACGGTCATATACTGTATCTTATAACTGTATCTTCACAGAGGGGAAGAGAGCAGCTACAACTCTCTGCTTCTCCAACAATAAGCTGCAACCGCTGATGAAAACAGGGGCAGTAGATGGTTCAAACTGAGTATTAGTCTGTGGTCACTGCATGGTAGCGGGCTAACGGCTACTTCTGACTCTTGAATTAAACCAGTTCAGTAGGAACATGAGCGTGCGAAGCTGAGCAGCGGCCGAGTTCCCACTTGAATCAACAGTGAGAAAATGGAGTCAAATGGTCGACAGTGAAAGGACAGTCACTGCAGAGTGGGAAGGAGTCAGAGAGGGAGGAGACGGAGAAGGATAGGCGGGGGAGAAATTCCTTTCATCAGTCCTCAGTAGTGATGTTAAACTGATAATGACACATAGTGAAGGACAAAGTAACACAAACAGCCTGCAGAAGTGCAGTAACTGTAACAGACATGTACAAATGGGTTAAAATGGTTGTACTGAGCGGCTGTGTGCGACCGAGGATGAGGAGCACAACACATACAGTTTATACAGTTCACTCTTCGAACTTCATGCTAGAAATGGTTATACAGTTTGAGATTAACTACAGAATGGCATCCATCCTGTGTTGTCTTTCTGTATTCTCTAATAATGAGGCAGACAGTGATGCAGCAAAGCTCCCTGACCAGGTGACGCTGTGGTTCACAGTCAGCGTCTCAGTCCTCGACTAAAGGGGCAGCTGCTGCACCGCGGCTGGAGGATGAAGTGTCTTAAAGGTCAGTGACACTGACGGACGCGGGATGCTGGCTCCAGCTGACTCCATTCAGAGCATGTGCTTCTCTCTGGAAACACTAAGTCAACACTCTGGTCTCGGTCTCTTAGTTCGGCTCCTCTAACAAATGGAAATAACTAGGCTACATCTTCAAACACCTTGTTTTGTCTTTGTTTTGACGAACAGTCCAAAACCCAAACATATTCAGTTTACAATGATTTAAAACAGGGAAAAGATGAAAACTCTCAGATTTGAGAAGCTGCAATGAGAATGTCTTTCCTTCAAAATGACTCAAATCATTGATCGATTAGGATCAATACTTTGGTTTGGGTGACTCCAGTAAGTATAAAACCTCTGGTGCCTCCAGTGTTGCTGCCTTGCTCTAGCTACTGGCCCCCAAGGGGAACTGAACCTGTGACCCCGGGCAGGAGAACACTAACAACCTTAATGGAGCTGAGCTGGATGTCCCAGCCCCCTTTGACGAGCAGTGCTGGTCCCGTTGCACACTGACCTGGGTCTCCACAGCCTTCCTGTTCTTCTGCTCCTTGATGATGGACAGCTGCAGCTCGGCCATCTTCTTCATCTTCCCGTCCATGTCGATCTTGTGCAGCAGCGAGCGGCTCTGGCGGCGCAGCAGACGCAGTGTGTCCTCCTTCCCCTGACGCTTCGCCAGCAGGGAGGCGCTCGCAGAGTGGATCGCCGTCACCCAGTTCTCCAGGTCCGTCTGGTTGGTGGCCTGAGAGGAAGAGACAACATCAAGTCAGTTTGATGATGAGCTGTTTAGCCAACTGTGCAGGAGGGCTGAAACACAGGAGAGAGTCTGAGGCTCATGACGACACTCAAAGATCTGAATGCTGCTTCTGTGTCTTTGGGGTCCCAGTAACAAACTGCAGGGATGGATGGAGTACTCACAGCCTTTACTTACAGTAAGGCAACAATGTAAAATACTCTAATCCAACTAAAAGTCGGCAAAATTTACTAAAGCTCTTACTGCTTGTCTTGCAGAAAAGTGGCCCCTGTAACTGATCGATGACAATAAATTAAGATGCATCAGTGTCTAAGCAGTAGTTCCAAGGTGGAGCTAGTCTGAACTTGTTAAGTCAAACTGTCGGGCCCCTCCGGACAGTCACAGATAAACCTGATGGCAAGAAAAACTAAATTCTGACACAAATCAGTTTTTATTTTTTGGACTTTTCTCTGATCTTTGACAGTTTGCTGAGAATACTTCTGTACTTAATGTGACTTCAGTAACTGTACTGGAAATGAGTGTGCCTACATAACAGTATTAGTACTTTCTCTACACATTTAAATGATTCTCACACCACTGCCAGAATAAACCTTTCGTCCAAGCTCACAGTTCAGTTTGACTAATGATGGTGTTGTTGATGAGCATTTAATGATGGGAAACAATTTACAAGGAACATTTCATTTAAAGGAGCCATAAACAGGAGAAAGCAGCGTGTTTCAGACCTCGCCGATGGTCTGACTGCTGTTTCAGAGGCCCCGAGAATCACAAGCTGGTGTTTTCTGGTCACTGACACAGCAGCTCTCACTTCATGACACTGACAGGTGTTTTTGTTCAGGAGGGAAACCTGTCAGAGGATTAACAGCCTTGTAAAGAGCAGCATTTGTTGCAGTAATCAGCTGGGGGTCGTGACTCCCTTAGAAAGCTTTCACCCTCCTCCAGCCTCCATCGTCTGCTCCTTTTAGCTCCTCGACACCTTGGTACATTTACAGTGAACCTTCAGGGACCCACGGAGGTGTGCTGGACATGGGTCACAGTGTGATCTAGGTGTGTAAACACTGCTGACAGGAGTGAGAGCTACTCTGGGAATAAAGCAGTGCTTTGTGGCAAAAAGCAGAGGACAACGACCACAGAGCTAAATGTTTCCTTACTTAGTCACAGCTCCACATCGGCGCTGCCATCGAGCACACAGGAGATGTGGTGGTGTGTCTATTATTAGAGCTGTGACCCCTGACCCTCTCAAGTCCTGCTGTTTGCTGCTTGTCAAGTTGGAGAGCTGCTGGGATTAACATGTTTGGATCCAGTTTATTCACTGTGGCCTTAAGCAGAAGCTAAACACACAACGTGAATACCAGGAATTCACAGGATGAAAAAACTAATCAGTTTCATCTGTGTGCATTTAGGTCCAGGTCCATTCAGCTACCAACAAAGTCTGTATCCTGAAATGGCATCTCTCTTTCTCTCTCTCTCTCCCTCTCTCCCTCTCTCCAACATGCCTGTAGGACTGTTACTACTGTACAACTCATGTCTCGTGTGTTATGTCAGTGCCAGTGCTGTGAAACTGCCAACACAGTCTTTAACAAGCAAAGTAGATGCAGAGAAAATCCCAAAGTGTGCTCAGGGCTGTGTGCATGTTTGTGGTGACACTGATGGTTCTGTGCTGGACAGAAAGCACAACACTAGATGATGGAAAGAAGAGCAGCCAGCAATCAGGAGAAAACAGAGGATTCAGATTTGAAAGGAACCGAGTCTGTTTGGGAATCGTGTCTGTGCATAACTTTGGATTTCAGATTGGTGATGCATTCAAAGACACTCCAGCACCTTAAAACCAAGTTTACTTGTTAGTTTTATGGGTCTGAACAAGTTTTCATACATTTCCTGATGTGTGATGTCACACAAACTCTGAAATAAATAACAACAAATAAAGTAAAGGTGCACCATGAGTGAGCGGTGCTCTCACCTGGAACAGGTAGACGTCTCCATACGAGTTGCTCAGACAGAAGACGTGTTCCTTCTTGGGATGCTCAGGGACGGCCTGGACGATGCTGTCGTCAGCCAGCAGGGCGTAGCGAGGAGAAAGCTCCTGCTCTGCACTGCCTGTTTTCCCATAGGTTTCGTAAAACAGCAGGGTGCAGCCTGAGGGGACAATAATCACCAGTCTGCATCAGTCTGCAGTTGTTCAGTCTTGTTTGTTGTAAAGCCATATTGTTGTGACCCCAGAGTCTGTGAATATTAATCAGAAATGACCAGGAGTCGGGTCCACGATGCTCGAGTTAACAACACTGCAAACAAATGGTGGACAAACAATCCACTGAATAGAAGCAGTGCTGCAGTGACTTGGTACTGTGCCGTCCTAATGGTGGAGACGCGAGACCTCCCGCTATAGAGACAGGTTTCCCAGCAAAGTGATCAGTGAGCTGTGCACAGGAACAGGCCAGAAAATGGAAAATGAATGACCACTTGTTTAGTATCAAGTATAAAATGATCAGTCAAGATGGACAAAGTCACTTCAGTGTCAAACTAGACGGTGTCCATCTTTCAGTGGCTCTAATCTGGGGACTTAGAATAAAGTTTGTATTTATTTTTTATCTGTTATTCTTGTGAAATACTGGATCATTTCTCTCTCGTTCAGTGCTGGCTGTAACAGGAAGCAGTGGCATGGTGTCATAGCTCGTCTGTAATCACCTGTAAAGCTACGCTGACACTAGGTGATGGATACAGAGTCTGTGTGATGGAAATCCTCTCACGTGGAACCTTCTCCTCCCATCAGGTGAGCATTGGTTTCATTTAAATGAATGTCTGGTCTGAACATGGTGTGAGTACTGGGGGTGTTTGTCTCTTACCTTTCAGCGTGACCCAGTAGTGTCTCCACCTGCGGCGGGTGACCAGCTCCAGCTTCCTGTCCTTGTTGACGGTGATGAGGGCTTTGAAGGAGAGCCATCCAGCCCGTCGCACTGCGCCCTGCTCCTTCTCAAACAGGACGTCCAGCTGTGCCCCTCTTCCCACCTCTCCATCCATCTCCTCCACACCCTCGTCTTCTTCATCTTCCTCTCCGTCCGACAGCTCGGTCTGCTTGGCGGCGCTGCTCCAGCCAGTCTCCAGCTCCTGCATGAAGTTTTCGTAGACGTTCTGTCGCAGAGCGTCACTGCTACTGCTCTGGGTCAGACTTCTGGAGGAGCCGCTGTGGACTGGAGGGAAGTGGTTGTGGTTCAGAGGGTGGAGAGGGTTGGAGGACCACAGTGTGCCACAGCCGACCGGCCCCGAGTTCAGTCTGTTGATGAAAACCTCTCCAGTGTCGCTGCTGCACGGCTCCTATGGACAAATGAGTTGATTTTACCAAAACTGAAGGTCAGAGAGGTGCATCCTTTACACCAGGACACACAGAGATGTTACCGTCGAGCAACAATCTGATGACACAGGGTTTAAATGCCACAGTGTAGTTCCTACTGGAGTACGTCAGGTAACCAACACTGTGCCAGTAGGAATTCCCATAATCTAAAACAATTCAGGATTTTCATTCCAATTTGTCACCTTGAAACAGGAAGTACAATTCATCCTTTTGACTGACGCCTACCACCAAAGAGACAGCCATTAAACTGTACTATTGGTGCAACTCCTCACCATCTTATTTTTCTTTAACACCAAACTCAGACTTTTATGAACCTGCTTTTTGTTGTCACATCTCTTCTGTAAGTGTTGGTTTCTTTTATGGAGCAAAATGTTTGAGTGATTTTTATTCAACCATAATTTTCCACTCCAGGACAAATAACTGGGTTTGAATAAGGTTCATTAAATAAAAACAGAGCCATACAAGACATTAAGAGGCTCCCCACCCAGTCCCAGTTGAAAATTCTCTTTTGTTATGAGAATATTCTGGTTTTCACCATGGAATCAAAGTGCAGGAAATAAAAAGACAAAGTGGCATCAAGCCAGGTTTCCAGTTCAGCCATTCATATTCAGTATCCACAGGAAGTGGCCTCATACTGCTGAATGTACAACGGAAG